GGTGGTGGTGATAATGATGATAATGATAAAGACGATGATGATGATAGTGATAGTGATGTTGAAGATGATGATGATGGTGACTGCTTGTAAGGAATGACGGTAATGATACTGACGTGATATTTAATTATTTGATTGACCATAAGACTCTCAATACAATGTACCAAAACAACAATGCTAATACCATAACAATCTTTTTGGTTATCTGAGCATTTGCTCGTTTCTGTTAATCTGTCTGTCTGTCTGTCTGTCTCTCTCTCTCTCTCTCTCTCTCTCTCTCTCTCTCTCTCTCTCTCTCTCTCTCTCTCTCTCTCTCTCTCTCTCTCTCTCTCTCTCTCTCTCTCTCTCTCTCTCACCATCTCCTCTCTCTCGTTTTCTTTCTCTCCTCGCTCTCTCTCTCTCTCTCTATCTTTCTCTCTCTCTTTATATAAATACAAATTTTATATAGATATACGTTAGTATCTACATGATAAATGTTAATAAGAATATTCAGCCATAACTAATTGGCTCTCGTGACGTCAGTATAAAAAATGAATATCAAAAATACGAATAATAATAATAGTGAACTTCACGCTTAAATAGTTTTGTTAATGATGGGTAGAGGAAGGGAAGAAAACAAAATTATATTAACGATATAAAAGTAGAGAGGATAGTAAGAACAACGGTAATGAAAATAAAAAGGATGGTGATAAGTATGATAATGGCAGTGATAATGAGGATGATAATGATAGGAACAATTATAGTGATAATAGTGATAATAAGACAACACCAGTGATATAGATAATGATGATACTACTACTACTACTCCTACTACTACTCCTACTACCACTACTACTAATGATAATAATGATAATAATGATAAAAATGGTGATAATAATAACGATGATAACGACAGTAAAAGTAATGATTATACTACTTATTATAGCAACAATGAGATTACTACTAATAATAACAATAAGGATATTAATAATGAAAACAATAGTAATAACAACAACAATAATAATAATAATAATAATAATAATAATAATAATAAAAATGATAGAAATGATAGAGACAATAGTAATGATGATAATAATAATAGCAATGATAATAAAAATAATAATATATTTATTATTACAATTATCATTATCATAATATAGCATTGTTATCGCCATTATAGCTTTCATGATATATAATTACCAATATTATCATTACAGTTATCATAAACATAATTTGCATTATATCATCATTAGCATTATCAAACATAATTTCTATTACTATTTGTATTTAAGGTATTTAAGGCTTTAATAGAATTTCATGAAGACAAATAACTTTTTTTTACTTGATTTTATCATTGTCTTTTAGTTGATATATGCCACATCTTATATTCTAAATTGCATAGTATCGACATATGTTTAAAGCTTGTATTCTGAACATGTATATCTATTTTTGTCTTCCTTGCTATCTCTCTGTCTCTCTCTCTTTTTTTCTACTATCCTTTTCACTTTTATTTCCTTACAAATTGGAAAAATATGCTAAAAGGAGGAAAAAGGGAAATTAACGGAAGAGACGTAGAAACAGGAATAAAGTGAGGAATAGAGAGAAGAGAAAGAAAGAAATATAAGCAGTTGGAAAAAAAAACAGGTTCAAGTTGCAACGGCAGATGAGACAAGGTCAGCATTGCAGCGTAACTTACAGGATAACAAACCCGCCCAATGAGGTTCATTATTGAACTCAAATTAACTCTTTGGTAATGAAGATTAGACGATTCCCTGGTGATTGTGTAAACGTATATCAAAGTGATAAGGTAATTTATAAGGCTACATATTAGGATAAAGAATCTGCACAGTGGTCTTTCCCGTTGTCTTCATTATATCATCTTTGACAACGAAATTAAAGAGTATATGTTGTTGTTGTTGTTGTTGTTGTTGTTGTTGTTGTTGTTGTTGTTGTTGTTGTTGTTGTTGTTGTTGTTGTTGTTGTTGTTGTTGTTGTTGTTGTTGTTGTTGTTGTTGTTGTTGTTGTTGTTGTTGTTGTTGTTGTTGTTGTTGTTGTTGTTGTTGTTGTTGTTGTTGTTGTTGTTGTTGTTGTTGTTGTTGTTGTTGTTGTTGTTGTTGTTGTTGTTGTTGTTGTTGTTGTTGTTGTTGTTGTTGTTGTTGTTGTTGTTGTTGTTGTTGTTGTTGTTGTTGTTGTTGTTGTTGTTGTTGTTGTTGTTGTTGTTGTTGTTGTTGTTGTTGTTGTTGTTGTTGTTGTTGTTGTTGTTGTTGTTGTTGTTGTTGTTGTTGTTGTTGTTGTTGTTGTTGTTGTTGTTGTTGTTGTTGTTGTTGTTGTTGTTGTTGTTGTTGTTGTTGTTGTTGTTGTTGTTGTTGTTGTTGTTGTTGTTGTTGTTGTTGTTGTTGTTGTTGTTGTTGTTGTTGTTGTTGTTGTTGTTGTTGTTGTTGTTGTTGTTGTTGTTGTTGTTGTTGTTGTTGTTGTTGTTGTTGTTGTTGTTGTTGTTGTTGTTGTTGTTGTTGTTGTTGTTGTT